GGTCCAACCTGTTACTAGCATGGGGTACCTAATAAAGTGGCTGGTGAGTGTATGTTTCCATTTAGATTTTTTAACCAAAACCCTGTGCATTATTTAGTCCTTCACTGCAGCTCAGACATGATTTTGGAACCATTTGAAGTCAGAGCTGCAAAACCTTTTCAATAGGTAAATCTTTGGTTATTCTATTTAGGTAGACTTTGATCTTCCTATTTGATCCTTTTTAAGTGTTCTAATCTGTTATATCTCTGAATGCATTGATACATTTTTTTTTTTTTCATACACGTGTTAACATGTTGGGGGAGTTTAAGGCCATGCTCCAGATTAACAGAGAGTTTCCGGTCATTGCAGGCGCCACAATCCCTGCTGCTGCCTTGCCTTTAACTCGCAGCAGATTTTTCTTCCTTAACAAAAGCAATCGTTCTGGGGCTGTTGCTCCCCTGTAGCCATTACTCATGTTCTTGCTGATGGTATCTTCAATAAAGTTTAGCACCTGATGGTGGCGTCATGTAAAGTAACCCTGGCTGGATGTTGTGGGGCAGGAGGTCGAGATGGTCTAGTGTCCTTTAGGCTGGACAAATTTGGCAGGTGGGGATCGTTGCTACCCCCCATGGGAAGAGGTTTGCATGGCTGGCAGATGATCATACACGCCTTGATCATTTTAATCTATATATCATCGCCTCCATAGTTCATGAGACAAAAAACTCTTCTTCCCAAGATCTTAAAGGCAGCTGGAGCACAACAGTGTTCCCATATAGGGCAATGCTGCTGAGGCTTCAGGGCAACTCCAACCACTTGAGATAGACTACATAAATGAAAAGCACTATGAATAATATTTATTATCATTATAATTTAAGAATTAAACTTTATTGTAATTTTGTATACACTGAGTGTATACAAAACAAAATTAAGTTGTTTACAGCTTACCAGAGTGAAATGAACACTACCATTTATAAAGCGCAGCAATATTAAACCAGTTTAAAAAGAATAGTAGTGCAAAAGGGGATCAATATGGAAGGTTCAGTGCAATTCAAAATAAATATCATACAAAATGCAGTATAACATTCAGTTGTGTCCTATTTAAAAATATTATAAAAGCTGCCATGTTGGTGCTGCAAAACAATGTTGCGAGTGTGATGCAGAATCCAGTTTAGAGTTCAACAGTCTTATGGGAGTGCGGGAAAAGCTGTTGCAGAACCTGCTGATTGCAGATGTTGCAAAGCCTCTTCCTAGAGGGCAGCAGGGAGAACAGTCCATGGTGGGGGTGTGAGGGGTCTTTGAGGATGTTACAGGCTCGAGACACTGAGAGCTGGTATGAAATGTCTTTAATGGAGGGAAGAGGAGCCCCGATGATCTTCTCTGCTGTTCTCTCCACTCTTCTCACCTTCTTTTAGTCTGAGGCGCTGCAGCCTCCACACAGTGAGACAGGTGATCAGAACGCTCTCTATGGTGCTTCTGTAGAAGGTGGTGAGGATGGGTGGGGGCAGGTGGTCTCTCCTCATCCTCTGCAGGATGTACAAGCGCTTCTGACCAGTGAGGTGGTGTTTCCAGTCCAGGTGAGGGTGTCTGTGATGTGCACCCCCAGTAATTTGGTGCTGCTGACCACCTCTACAGCTGAGCTGTTGATCAGCAGTGGAGCGTGGTTAGGCCGGTTCTTCCTGTAGTCGACAATGATCTCCTTCTTCCTCTCCACATTCAGGATCAGGCACCAGCTGCTCCACCTCCTCTCTGTAGTCCCGTATTTAAATAACTTTTCTCATTATTACCACTAACTCTATTACTTGATCCTCGTCTTTCTTTCATTGCCACTCTCAAACTACCTCTAAAACACAGCACACCCTCTTATAACACTTGCAAAATAAAATAAAATGAAATAATTGCATGAGCAATTTAGCCCCACCTATCAGGGATATTTGAAGACCAGTCCCTTAAAAATGCACAGGAGAAATAGATACATAAATGCAAACTATCTGTTGATAACTGTTAATAGATTTATAATTTAAAATATTGATTTTGGTGTCCACACAGTTAAGGATTTCAGTCTATGAAAAGGTTTGGTCACTCCTGATAATATAAAACATTTTTATTTATTTATTGTTTGGATTTGATAAGTTTTATTTAGAATATTTACTTAGTTAAGACTGTGAAAAAAAAATTATTAGAATCTATTCCTTTTATGCATCTAGCAAACAATCTGAGTGTGAGATTTTTTGTTTCTTTATTGCACAAACGTATTCACTAAAGGAGAACATCTGCTAGATGTGAGGCTTATCTTCCTGATGCCTGAGAAGCTGTTTTAGATGTTTCTTAAGGAGCTAGACTCCTTTATTCAATATTATTTCAACAATTCTCCTGTTTGTGAAGAACCGGCTGCTCAATTTTAATTAGGATGTGTGTGAAACCCTCCATGTTTTCCTTTTGGTTCTTAAGTGTTGAGATAAATCCTTTGTCTTTCCACAACAAACAGAATATATGGACACTGTATCTGTTCTAGTCTTGCAAGGGTTAATAAATGCTGCCTAAATGAAGAAATCCAACCTTATTTCTTGTCAAATATTAACTTATGATTGGTATTTGTCAAACTTTGCAACAGTGATGCAAATGTTTCCTAGTTTCACCTTAATCTCTTTGCTTTAATTTTGCCTCTTCCATATATCATTTAATTCATCCTTAATTCATCCTTAGTAATGCTACAGTTTTTATGCTGCAGTTTGTGAAATCCTGTGAACCAGACATCATTACTTAACCTTTATTAAACTTTTTTTCTAATCTGCATACTTTAGCTTTTCCTGCTTTTAATATATTAATTTTGAGGAGAAAATGCAATGTGTTATTACCTTGACCTGTGGGTGGTTGCTTCATCAGCATGTTTTAGGATGGTCATTTCCTATTACATGGCTTTGTCTCTCTCAGCATTTGTTGTGTTTTAGTAGCTCAAAAAGAAGCGATAAAGACCTCCTTGTTTTTCTATGGGGAGGCAAGAATTCCCTGGGTATCTATGACATCTGTTGTTGTTTCCTTCCATAGAGACCAGCATCACTAGGCACTGCTCAGGTAGAGCACATTTGTTATCAGGTCTGTCCGACGCCAAGTGCCCGGGTTTGAAGCAAAGATAGAAAATACCTCTAAGAATGGATCATCTAGGTAACGTTAGAGTCAGGACAAACCGATGGCGAAGGCTGCTCAGGTGGCATCATGGACAAAAAATGAACGAGGAAGGCGAAGATGGAGGCAAGGATGGCGAGAAAAAGAGGTCATTTTGGAACATGAGGTTTGAATTCAAGTGAGTGATTGATAATGTTACTCAGCAAAAAGAATTATTGCAAATGAAAGTTTCTCATCTGATGCAGGATTTTAGCAACTCAACAAAAGCATGAGGAGGCTGTGACTTCATTTAAGTGCATATACTCTGGTTTTATCTCTTTTGAAGGAAGGAAGTCATTATCTACCTTTCTCAAAAATCTTTTTGACATTAAACTATGTTTTTGATAACATAAGTGAATAGGAAATAAACCGTATTAATAGTTTTTCCGGGTTCAAGTTGCTTTATTGTAATAAAAACAACGTAAATAAACTGTCTTTTAATTTGGCATATTGTTGTTATTTGTCACATTTACAAAAAAATCAGAAATACAAGGCGAGGTCAACCTTTTTAACCCTTTCAACTATTGTTTCAACTACAAAGCTCAATAGATTCTGTTAGAATTGTATATGATATTTCTAATTTAAAAGTGAAGTAATAGTAAAATTATAGCATTTTTTAAAAACCTTTACAGTGAAAGATTTGAAGGGAATCTACTTGTGGTAAGTAAGTAATGTTTATTTATATAGCACCTTTCACAGACATAGAGGTCACAAAGTGCTTCACAAAATAAAAATTAAAATAAAATACATTTACGGTCACAAAACAACAATTAAATGCCTTCTTAAACAGTTCACTCTTAAAAACATCAACAGAATCAAGTAAGTGCAAGGAAAGCGTTCCAGAGCGCCGGCGCCCATTTCCCCTGGTACTGTAACGAGTACGAGTTGTAATAATTCTATTACTACCACATCACTGCAAATACAGAAATAACTTTTTGGGATATTTCCTAACTAGAGCTGAACAATACTTCAATGGAGATATTGCAAAAGAAATCTATTCAACAACTTTAAACTGACATGTCCGATATTTAAATCTATATTGCAGCTTATTACTGCAGATTATTCTTTTATTTTTTGAAGCCAGTATTTCTAAAATGTTTTATTTGAGAAGTTTTATAAAATGGCAGAAAAATGTTATACATTTTTACAAGATTGTGTTGTGGGCATTCTTGGCTGTCTTCCTAAGGCTTTTATTTTGTTTATATAAGTATTAAAGTTATACTGTGTTGATTTAAATTAAGAAATATGTCATGACATAAGTTTTAGCTTTATCATTCAGTCCATGTCCCAAACAGCTTCAAGCATCTAGTAACTGTTTTTTTTCTACTTCTTTGCAAAAATAACTAAAGTGTTTTTCTGTAGATGAAGGGCATCTGCCAGAAACTGTTTTTAAATCCTGCCACAAATTAAAAAATAAGAACTTTGACTAGAGCATTCTAACACATGGATAATATTTGTATGCTGTTTTTTTTAATTAGTGTAATTTATCTTCTCTTCAACTCACAATTGTCTCTGTCTGAAATGAAGGAAAGCGACCCCACAGCATGATGCTGCCATCACCTTGTGGATGGCGCTTACTGGGTGATATGTTGCGTTTCTTAAGACACAATGGGTCTCATGCAAAAAACATTTCCGTATTCTTGTAACTTTCTCTTACTTGTTCTCCTTCTGTGGGCTTTTATGAATGTGACACGTCATATTCAACAAACATTCTTAACTTCAGTAAATGATTGTAAATTTGATGCTGTTTACCTGTGTGTAAATAAGCGCACATTCTTAAGAAATGGAAATCTGCAAAACCGAGGAGCTGCCATTAAGTTTAATGAAGGCAAGTCTCATTGCTAGAGGAATTTTGCTGAAATTTCTGTCCATTTTCTGTTCCTGATGTTATTTCAATAGTAGTTTGATGCATAGAGCTATTATTTTCACGAAATGACAACAAATTAAACCAGTTTCTCCTGGATACCAAGATACCAGCTGCAGGTGTAGTGACCGATAGTTCTGTCATCAGTAAATAAAAATTATATTTGTAATTTCAGAGTTGCATAATATATAATGATGCAACCTGAAAATGGACAATTGATTCTAAGTAACAACAAATTTTATCATTTAGTAACAAACTAGGTTTGGATAACAGCTGACTGATTGCACAAGACTCTTACATCAAGTCTGGAGCATTGTAAAATGTGCTTGTACCTGAGAGAAGATTAGGAATAAGAGAAAAATGTCAGGGCTCAGAACAGAGGACCCAGAATTCAAAGCAGACAGACAGACTGGTTTGTCAAAAGCATTTTTTATAAAACAAAGATCTGCAGTAACTAAAGGGACGTCTAAGGCAGGAAACTTTAGTCTTAAAGTTTAGTCTGTGTGCAGCGGAAGTGGTGAAAGCTCCCAAGAGATTCATAGACGTTGAAGCTTCAAAACTGCAGAACTGCATGACGAACAGACCCAAGCAGACAAAGGAAGGCAGGATTATCCGGAGGGAGAAGCCAAAGCCAAAGTGTCAAAGAGGTTCATAGAAGTCCAGGTCAAAAGATCAGAGATCCGAAGAGGCACCGAGGGAAATCCAGGTCGGCGTCAGGAAGCAAGTCCAAGTTTAGTCAACAGGCAGAATTCAGGAGGAGTCTGAAGACAGGTCAGGCAAACAGATCAGAATGGGAAGTCAGTCTTAGGGCTACACGGAGCAGGAATATCAGAACACAGTTAGGTATGCTGGAGAGCTCTCACCAAAGGCTTGAATAATCTTGCACTGACTTGGAGCAGGCAGGTTAAATAGAGACTGGAGCAGGTGAGACAGGTGATGAGAGACTGGGCGTAGCTAGATAGGTGAATGGAATGAACCATTAAGCCATTCAATCAGCAGCAAGATCATGACAAAAAAATGTGAATATGTTTCTTAAATTACTCATATGAAGGATTAAAGAAGGGATTTGTTCAAAAGAAATATTATTGCATGAGACCCAAAAATCTTATATAATCACCAAAATGTTTAACTTTGGTTGTATCTGACTAAAGTTCATTTTCCACATCGGTCCTTCACAAGGCTTGTGGAAACCTTTAACAGGAATTCTTTTGGCCTTCTTTTATGCCACCCTAATATCAAAGCCAGATTTGTTTCACCCCTGCTGAAAGTTCTCCCATCTGAGATGTAGATCACTGTAGCTCCTCCACGGTTACTATGGCCTTCTTTGTTGTTTCCTTGTTTAATAGTCGCTTTGTCTTGCATGTCCGTTTAGGTCATCAGCCATGTATTAGTGCATTTAGACTTCTGTCATACTATTTCCTATTTTGGATCAAATTGTGGTAAGGTAATATCTATCTATAATGTAAATTGACTTGAAAAGGCAAAAGCATTGTTTTTTTCCCCCCCAAATTTGGCATTCAGGAAATGTAATGGCTTCTCCTCTTCATCGGAATCATACGTTCACATCAAATCCTAAATTAATACATGACAGTTTTACAGTTAATATGAAAAAAAAAGGCCAGAAGGTAGAAGAACATTTGCAAGTCACGTTATATTTAGGATGTATTTGATCAAACTATTACTCAAGACTTAATGAAATTAGATAAGAATCAAAAGTAATTTTTCCTGTTTGTTATTCCTTTATTGTTTCCCTCTTAGTTGGAGAGAGTGGACTGTTGATCCTGCAGAGACCTTTTATTACGTCTGGTTACAGGTGATGATTGTGCCCATTGTTTACAACTGGGTAATAATCATTTTAAGGTAAATAATGGCAATGAAAGGCACATCAAAAATTCATAACACAACGATTTGTAGTAAACAGATATCATTTGATGCTAAGGACTGCTGGTTGTTATTTTATCAGGACCTGCTTCACATCGATTGGGCTGAACTACCTCCCTGTGTGGCTCACATTGGACTATCTGTCAGACCTGATGTATGCTGCTGATATGGCCATCACTCTTCATACTGGTAAACACACTTCCTCCGATCTGATTATTACTCAGTCTCCAAAGTCAAATGTAAACAAACATTTAACATGCAACAAAAAAAAGCACCATAATAAATCAACAGAGTATCTAGATGCAATAAATCTATAATTTATACTTTAATTTTTGTTGCTATAAAACATCGTTTAAAGATTTGAGGTCTTGTATTTCTCATATTTCCTTTTTAGGTATCAAATGGTTCGGTTTTAGGAAGTGAGCTTAGCCAAAATGCCAGATACAGTCATTTTTTATTAATTAATCTTCAGTTAAAACAATAAAACATTTTCTAAGCCCAATTAATCTCTAAATAGAAATAAAAAAAAAAGAGATTTAAAATGCAATTTAAAAATATGATAAAAATAGAACTATTGTAAGGGTTGATTAATGCCAGATTTTATTAAACATTTAATGAATGAGAATTTTTTTGTCTGTTAAAGGATTTCAGGTTAAGATGTATAAAAAGCCTTAAAATAAAAGAATATACTGGAAAAAAAAACAGCTCTAAATGGTAAACTCTAGATTTGTTTTTTTTGTCCTCATCCACCTTTTTTCAGTTGTTGCCACTTCAAATCATCAAAATTAAATGAAATAAACATTTGAATGCATCAGTCTGTGTGCAATGAATAAATATAATGTACAAGTTACACCTTTTGAATGCAATTACTGAAATAAATCAAGTTTTTTAAAAATATTCTAATTTACTGGCTTTTACCTGTATATAATTAGTTTTTTCCTTGTGGGGCTAATTTACCACATTCAGAATCAGCAGTTCCTTTCTTAAAAACAGGAGGGCAGCAGTCATTCTTAAATGGAGTGTCCTAACTTATCTGACATTTTAATCGTTAGTATTTTAACTATAAAATCACTAGAAAAATACATTAATTTATTATTCACATCAATGCAGTAAAGTTAATTATATTTTCAAACTAACTATTGTGTTTTATGGGGTGAATGAAAAGCTATGTGCCTTGCAGCCACATTGGAGTCTCCCATGTGATTACACATAATACCTGTTCAGCCCATTCAATGTGTATTATTATGTAGAAACATAATTTTTTGTTGTTGTTGTTTCTGAAATCTACTCTGTGTTGTGTGATTTATTTAGAACAATCCTGATTTGCTCGTTTGATTGGAGTGATTAGTGTAGATTAACGCTAATGGAATCGAACCCGGAACCTTCTTGCTGCAAGGCAGCAGTACTACCCATTGTGCAGCCCCTGGGGATTCATATTAAACAAAAAGAACAATAATGTGAATAATTTATTCATGACTAGTTTTTTTTTTATTTACTGGCTGCACTATTGAAGTAAAAAATGAAGAAAATGTGAAACAAGCCGTGTTGCCCAAGAAACATGTTCTAAAAACCACAAATATTTGCAGTCTCAGGACTTCTCAGACACAGATGTGAGCAATTAAATTGTAAACCTCTTAAACATACTATTGATTCTTTAAAACGTTTAACTTTTTTTTTTTTTTTTCCAGAACTCCCCTTCAATCCTGTGAATCAAACTTGTTGTTTTGTTCTCAAGTTAGAAAAGTACTAAAGGACCAATTTGTGATTACATTTACAACATAGTTTACAAAATCCTTTCACAGTGTGGCTTAAATGAGTTAATGTTTTTGTCTAGCTGTAGCCTAATAACATGGGTACATAAACTTAGTGAGTAAAAGCAGATCTAATTAAGGAATGATAATGCAGCTAACAGGCTAATGTTATAAAGTTTTAATAATAATAATAATAATTGAATTTTATTGATCTCACACTGAAGACATTTAGCTCTGCATTTAACCCATCCCTGTTGGGAGCAGTGGGCTACACCGCAAAAACGATCTAGAAATAAGTAAAGATTTCTTAAATTAAGTGTATTTACCCTTAATTTTAGTAGGTAAACAAGATGATCTGCCAATGAAATGAATATTTTTACTCTTAAAATAAGATAATTAGATAATATGCACTTGAAATAAGACAATGCAATTGTTTTTTTTCTTATTTTAAATGTAAATTGTCTTGTTCCATCTGTAAAGTGTCTCACTTACCTCCTCAATTCCAGACAAAATGCACTTATTTTAAGAAAAAATTACTTATTAAGATTTACATTTTTTGTACTGTGCCATTTGCAGCACCCGGAGAGCAGTGTGGGGTTAAGGGTCTTGCTCAGGGACCCAGTGTGCAGGCTGTGGGGATCTAACTGGGTATTTGCAAGTTTCTCAGAGCACAAGCGCACTGCTCTGACCACCAGGCCAGCACTCCCTAATTGATGGGTTGTGCTTGTCTAATCTTAAGAAAAAAAAAACATAATAATAATAATAATCAATCCAATTTGTACCGCACTTTTCATTAACAAAAATCTCAAAGTGCTACACAGTGCAAATAAAATCAAAGATAAAAATCAACCATAAAAATCAAGTGGAGGCAGAATAGGCTTGCTTAAATAAAAAAGTCTTCAAGCCTCTTTTAAAATCAATCAGTGGTTGTGCATTTGAGACTTATATAATTAAAAACTGGCTAATGTGATGATTTCATCTTTCCTGACAAACTTCCTTTTCACTCTGTAGGTTTCTTAGACCAAGGAATCCTCATCAAGGACCTGACTCGTTTGAGGAAACGCTACCTGCACTCTAAACGCTTTCTGTTTGATTTAGTTTCTCTGCTGCCAACTGACTTCCTCTACTTTGCCGTTGGTATTGAAACTCCCTTAGTGAGGGTCAACCGCCTCCTTCATATTCCACGACTCAGCGAGGCTTTAGACCGCATGGAGACCAGAACCTCCTACCCGAATACTTTCCGCATCACAAAGCTGATGATCTACATCTTTGTGCTGATCCACTGGAACGCCTGCCTCTACTTCGCACTATCCAGTTACATCGGCTTTGGAAGCGATCACTGGGTTTACCCCAACATCACTGAGCCGAGGTTTGCCTCCATGCGGCGCCAGTACTTGTACTGCTTCTGGTTCTCAGCCCAGATTTTCACCACTGTAGGAGACACCCCTCTGCCAAGCAGGGAGGAGGAGTACTTATTTATGATTGCAGACCTCCTCATTGCTGTGCTGGTGTTCGCATCAATCGTCGGTAATGTTGGGAACGTCATCACAAGCTTAAGGGACAGAGATAATGTATTTTTCCCCAACCATGAATTGGTGAGTTCCATGAGATAAAAAGATGTTTTTGTTTTTTTTCCAAATAATCAATACATCTGAAAGTAGCGCTCTAATATCTTCGATAACGTATTTTCCTTTCAGGTAAAAGCATACCTGCGTAGCCACCACATTAGCAAGGAGCTTCGACAACGCATCGACAACTGGTATCAGCATCTTCACATCAACAAGAAGATCATGCGGGAGAATGAAATCTTGCAGCAGCTTCCGTTACACATGAGAACCGATATCGCTGTCAGCGTCCACCTTCCAACACTTTCCAAAGTTACAATTTTCCAGAACTGTGAGAAAAGTCTGCTGGAGGAGCTGGTTCTGAAGCTCACACCTCAGGTCAGGGGGGCTGAGGTTTACATGCAGAAATCCACTGATATCTACATATAATTATCTACATGGCCACATGAATCTTTGGCTGTTTTGTTTTTACTGAACAGACAGAAACGAGCAAATATTATGGAGCATCTATAAGATCTGCTCTCTTGCAGCATCCGATTCGTCCCAGAAGCACCATTCGTACCATCGGCTCATTTGCACATGCGCAACCAGATATACATCCGGGTTAAATAATATAATTATGCTACTAAAATTAGTTTTTTCTATCCTTATCTCCCTAAAAAATTCCAATAAACATCTTTAAACAATATTTTATTAACTTTTTGAGACATTTTTGTTTCTTTTTATATTTTCTCCGTTAAACTGCTTGTCTGACCTCATTATCGGACATGCTCAGAGCAGACCGGCAAAATATGATTATCTGCATTTTAGTTGTTTCTTTATTTAGATTACGCACTATATACCATGATGTTTACATGAAAGGAAAACACAAAACTCAAAAAGAGTAGATGAATGTTTAAATCCAAAGCCAAAAAAGTTAGCTCCTGGAAGTAGCGTAGGATTCCATTTCCAGTACAGATCGTGCACAGACGCGTGATTAAACAGAATGGATTTTAAGGCATTTGTTTTCTCAATAAATACTTTATTAACCTTTAACACATTATAGTTTATTACGGCAATGTAACTATGGTTTAATTTACAAAATAAAATCAAAGGCAACCAGGATGTACATCAGGTTGCGCATGCATAAATGAGCTAATGGTACAGTTGGCCCTTTTGGCCCCTGTACTAAAAACATAATGCTAAATAAATTTAGAAGAAATAAATTATAATATGTGTTGGCAAAAAAAAGAAAAAATGCAATTGATAGATCCCTTTGACTAATTAATTCAATTAGTACAGTTGTATTTCAACAAGGATTAAAACATTAGGTTGTTGCACTTTTAGTTTCAGTCTTATTGAGGCATGATGACAATGTTCATCTGCTGCTTTCAGAGCTGGAAATGGTTCATTAATATGTTTAATTATGATTTTTTTTTCCCCCTTTGTATTGTGTCCTTATGAAAAAACACAGATCCCACCCTGCTCTGGTCCCCCTCGTAAATTTTGGTCTAGAACCACCTCTGGGTCAACAGGTTTTGGCTTTTTGGAAATTTCAAGTGTTTATTTTTACAGCCAGTAATCCTAAAAGTTCTAAATATTAATATAAGATAATAAAATGTATGTTAGTATAAAATGCAAAATCTGTAATCATTTAGTCTATGTTTTAAAACAATAGTGAAATCTATCTAGTATACCTTAATAACACTGCCTTGATAAGCTAATAATTAGTGATGGAACAAAAGGCAGCTTCTTTATTTTGTACAACAAATAAATCAGATTTAACTAAATTCAGTACATTCGACTACATTTAGTACATTTGGCAGGGAGCAATGTGCTTTTTTTTACATGGTAAGTTATTAATCATCATGAAAATATTTTAGAGCTTAAACAAAACTATTGCCTTGGTGCATATTTTGGGATTTTCAAGTAAGGACAAAGATTGCTGTTGAAATATACAAGCATTACATGTTCTAAGTGCTGTTATTTATAGTTAAATCAAAACATAAAATGTTCAGACATTGTAAGTTGGCTCATTGATCCATTTCCAATTATTTTCGTTTTTATTATCTTTTTCTCCTTTAATTTGGGTTCATTTGAACTAAACCAATTACAGTGCAGTTATTTTTCCCTGTGTAAAATACACTTGAACTAATGCAATTTATTATTCTGTTAACATGGTGTTGTTCCTTAAAGAACTTATCTTGTGGTTCTTATCTTGCAGGTGTTCAGCCCCGGCGAATATGTTTGCAGGAAGGGAGATGTCGGCCATGAGATGTATATCATCAAAGAGGGGAAGCTTGCAGTCGTAGCAGATGATGGGGTTACAGAATATGCAGTGCTGGGTGCAGGGAACTTCTTTGGAGAAATTAGTATCCTTAATATCAAAGGTAGGGAAAAAAAACTGCTGACTCTGTCATGATGATTAATAAACAAATGAATGTGTTCAAAGGAATCATATTTTCCTTTTCTGTGGACTAAACAAATGCATAGTAAACATACAATCACACAAAAAATTTAAATGTGCCTTTAAAGCAAAATGGCAAGATATATATATATATATATATATATATATATATATAGCTACATAAATGAGACTGCTTTAAATAAACTCAGAAACTGGGTGTGATACCAACATTGACCAGCAGATGGTGCTAAAGGGTCATGAAACAGAAGGTTTTGTCTAATGAGATGCAGGATGTAATTTCGAAAATAAACACTGTGGTTTAAAGCTAAGTCAGTTTTCTGCAACAAGGCACATTATAATACCACCAACAACACTTTCTTTTTAATTTATAGGCAAGAGTAAAATTTAAAGGCATCTATAGGATCTAAAAAGAGAGGAACAAAACACAAACAGATGTTGCAGGCATTTCAGAGGAATAAACTTGATTACTAAAGGTGTATTTCAATACCTGCAGGTGTTGATATCAGGACAAAATAAAATTATGGATTTTGTGTTAACTTGCAGGAAAATGTTATTTGAAATATTAAATCCTTGTCTTGTTTTAAGGAAATCTAACTTTTTTTAATTCAAGGCAACAAGTCAGGAAACCGCCGCACTGCCAACATCAAAAGCATCGGCCATTCTGACCTGTTCAGCTTGTCCAAAGAGGACCTCACTGATGTGCTGTCTGAGTTTCCTGCAGCCAAACGTCACCTAGAGGAGAAAGGCCGGCAGATCCTTGTCAAGATGGGCATGTTGGAGGAAAGGGCAGAGGTAGAGGAGGTGGAAGCTGAGAAGATTGAAGCAAAGATTAAAAGGCTAGAGAGGACTCTAGAAGATCTGCAGACCAAACTAGCACGCCTCATGATGGAGTTAGAGTCAAGCAACAAAAAGATGCAGGCCAGAGTGGAGCAGCTGGAGCTGCAGGTGGCTCTGCTGGAAACTCACCTGCCACATGATGGACAAGGAGGAGAGGAAGCCATGGGAAGAGAAGAGGGTGTTGGAGGAGAAGCAGACTGGGAGCGGGAGGAAGCAGAGGGAGAGGAGGAGGGGGATGCAGAAGAAAATGGGGAAAAAGAGGGAGCTGGCGATGATGGTGATGTGACCAAAGAAGGAGATGGTGAGAGCACTAAAAGTACTAAGGATGAAACAGAACGAGTAGTAGAGGGAAACAAATTTGATCTGAAGGAGCCAGACAATCTGATAGACAACATACATGATAAAGAGAAAATCTTGGGAAAAGGAGATGAAAGACCCGGTAAAGGTGATGGAGCCGAGACCGAACCAAGGGATGACAACCAATCCAGAGATGGAGAACTATTAGGGAGAAGAAGAAAGACCAAAGAAGACTCAGATGGAAAAGACAAGAAGGATTCAGATTAATGGTAAACAAAATGAACCAAACCAGACATTTGCTAAGAGCTGTATAGATGGCACTTTTTTTCTGAAAGTATGTTTTCCCATTAAGGGTCAAGAAAGTTTATTTGTATGGAGTGAATATTTAAGCTGCACAGTGGGTAGCATTGCTGCCTTGTAGCAAGAAGGTTCCGGGTTCGATTTCCGGCCCGGTGTCTTTTTTGCATGGAGTTTGCAGGTTTTCCCTGTGCATGCATAGGTTCTCTCAGGGTACTCCGGCTTTCAACAATCCAAAAACATCACTGTTAGGTTTAATTGGCTTCTCTAAATTCTCCTTAGGTGTGAGTGTGAATGGTGAATGTGAATCATACTGTTTGTCTTTGTGTTGCCCTGCGATGGACTGGGGAAGAAAGGATGGGTGGAGTGTATATTTTCTGATTTCCTTCAAAACAATGTTGTAATATATCTATTTTCCCTGGATGGCAGCATGTCAGGGTGTAGTTAATGTAACCTTACAGATGTTCAGTTTCTCACATGTTTACTTACCCTGTTGCAGATATTTACACTATTCTATTTCTTTATGTGTTATGCAATTTAATCTATACTAATTTTTCAAACTTTACATTTAATCTTTATTGATGTTACCAATGATTGTTTGCATTTCCAAAGATAAAAAAAACTGGTACAAAAGAACTGAAACTTAATTAAACCAGCTACCACACTGTTTATGATGTGCACTTTCTTCAATCTTGTTTTTGAGTTTCAAAATCTAAAGAAATCTATACTATTTAAATCTTATTTGATTAGAGCAAAAATGAAATAATATATTTCTAAATACTGTGCTACATTTTAAATCAGTTTGTGTCGCTGCATCCTACCTGTAATGTAGGATGTAGCTGAGCTTGTATGTTGTCCTGTGTTCTTATATGTCTTACTGTACTGCTGCCTCTTGGCCAGGTCTCCCTCGAGAAAGAGCTTTTATCTCAAGGGACTTCCTGGTAAAATAAAGGTAAAATAAAATAAAAAATGTTTTTTATTTATTTCATAAATACTTTAATCATTTTAAGTATTAATAACTTGGGAATTCTGGTTTATATAGAGATAATTGAATAAAATGAAACCCAAATGCTTTTCTGAAATGTAGTTATTTAATGTCATAGTTTGGTTTTATTTCATACCACCTTATGTTTTGGAATACTGTTGATTCTACAATTCCAAGTTCGTTTTTATTAAAACTTACACATGGAAAAGATTATGTTGAATATCATACAAAGCCAATTATGATCTTATTCTTTTATATAATGTCATATTTTAAATTGTAGGTCTTAAACATGCGGTCCATGAGCCCTAGGGGGTCCATAGAGGTACAGCATGGGGGTTGCAAAAGTTTTGGTTAATTAGACTTTTTTTTTTATTACCCCCTGCATTTTTTTCCGCTAATTTAAATCAAAAAAATTTGAATAGGGGTGGCAGGTCAAAAACTAATGTAGATTGAGGGATGGCTGAAAGCGGATAGGCGTCAGAACCTCATGGTCAATCTACACTGTTCCAACAGCAACGAGCACAACATCCATGTTTTCTAAATAAAGGCAAACTATACTTTCCTGCAGCTTTTACTATCAAATATATTAAATATATTTAAACATTCATGCTCTCTAAATAAAAAGTAGTGGACAAATTTTCTGGGGCGAACATCTTTCCCATTTTCATTATTTACTACTTCTACTTCAGAAGTTGTTCTGCATAAAATTAATATACTGGGACTAATATCTACATTAAATAGATTTTTAAGTTATTATTAAATTAGTTATTTATCTATGATTTCACTGAAGACTCCTAGATTACTTGCAGAGAATTTTCTCTTTACCCCATATAACACCAAACGTAGTTCTGAAGTGAGCATGAATTCTGTATATATCAACTTTAATGTTAGTATTTTGATGTGCATAATTAACCACAGCATATTAGCTGTTGAGTAATTCTTAATATATGAAAAATTTAGACTGAACATTCCCCCTGAGAGTATTACTGCTGCCACCATCTGTATTATGCTACGTTCACACCAAAAGCAGCAAAGGCAGCAGGAGCAGCTAGTTTACATGCAAAGTCAATGGTTCAAGGCGCAGCAAAAGCAAGCGCAGTGCGTCTGAGCATCTGACGCGTGCGACGCGCCGCAAACGTGCTGCTGCTTGAGTTGGAAAAATGTAACTTTTACTGCTCGATGTGCCGCATCAACCAATCAGAGAAGCTGATCTGGGAACTGGCAGGGAGACAGACACATCGCTGATGATACAGATCACTATGATCACTCCTCTGAAGCAGTTTATTAACACCTAAATTAACTTAAAATGCCAAAATCTGTCGGCAAAACATGTTCACTTTTATTATCCTGGTGCCTGCAAGTTTGGATTATGTACATGAAAAACGCTTTCCAGCCGCCATGGCAAAGAGGTGACCGGGTCAGAGGCTGCTGTTGAATGGGAATTCTACTGAAAGCGCCGGTACGTAGGGGTCTGAGCGGCTCCAACAGGGAAATAATATTTGAATGCAAAATGGTAATCTGGATGAACTGACTGCACAGATGATGCTTTCAGGTGGACTTTCTCACTTAAAAACATATTAAAACTACTTTATACCTACTGATCACAGCAGATATAGCTGCCATTGTTACAGGCAAAGGATAGGGTAGACCTACTTTAATATCGCGCGTGTCAGAATTAAACTTGTACAATCATTAAAAATGAAGCAGCGTGTGGGTTTTTGCTGCCTTTGCTGCTTTTGGTGTGAACGTAGCATTAGAGGGCGAAAAAAAATTATTGGGGTGGCCACAGGGGTGGACAATGATTGGCTAAGGGTGGCCATGGCCACCTCTGGCCCCCCATCTAGCTCTGCCCCTGAATGAAATTCCTTTAAATCCACATTAACATGAATTCAACACACTGTAGTAAACAGATAAATGGAGGCAGAAGATTTATTTCAGTCACCAATGCACACATTCAGCAACACAGGAGCTCTTTCAAGCTGGTCACCGTTTCATTCACAACACCTGTCCCATCTATGAGGAATCAGGATCAGAAATACTTTAATAATCCCAGGACTCCATCTGTAAGTGACTATAGGACCAGTTTCATATAACACAATTTCATACAATATATATAATTAAGGGGTCCCCATCATTTTGGGGGTCCTTGGCCTTTTTTAAATAGTTCCCTCGTTTGTTTACGCTGCTAAAAAAAAATGACAGACTGGCCCTTTAATGACGCAGCGCTTACGTACTTCCGGGAGGCGCAGTGGGGACGCAGGCCCCACCGATTCCACTGAGCTACTCAGAGAAGCACTTCCTAATAATAAAGCCCCGCTTGGATGTTATTTTCATGGGGTACTACCGCTGAAACATATGGAGAGTCAAGAGGAAAAGCCAGTCATCTATACCATGGAAAACAAGCCGATAGTAACATGTAAGTGACTGAAAAATGGGACGGTTAGCTTCACTTTTGCTTCTCTTGACAGTTAGCCTGCTAGCTACAGTCATTAGCTCCTTTTTAGCTGAGCTGGCTGTCACCCTCAGCCTGGAGACGCTGCTAGCCTATGTGGCGACTTCGCTTCTACCGGTGTTATTGTAATACAACCGCCAGATGCTAATTTGGCGATTGTCAATACATTTTCGCCATAGAATACAGCATTTCTTAGTACATTGGAGCTTCTCTGTTTTATCAGGCCGAGTCAACTGTAGAACGTCACGTCTGTTTGCTGCGGGTTTGGGAAGGATTGCGTCCTGTTGACTGCTATCCTGCGACTGTTTTCTCTCTAAGCAACAGGAAGACCATGTTTGAGGCCAGGTTACCATTCATAAATCCCCGGGTGTCTGCTGGAAGCTTGTTAGGGAGGTTATTTTAGGAGGGAATGCCAGCTGCATCTCTCTCACCGCAGATTGCTCCATTTTTAGCAGCCAGGCGCAAGAGTGCACAGAAATAAAGGAAATCTGACTAAGAAAATCCAAAGTCAACGTCAATAGGGATTATGAATTGGGAGCAGATTAGGACATTTAGAAAGCACAGTTCTACATGTTTTCAAGCAAACACTTGGTGATCCTGGCTAAACAGCTCTTTGTGTCCTAAATCTGCTTTAATAGTTAAGTCAGATAATTTGGCCATTTGCCTTTATCATTGCTATAAATGCATTCAAAAGCATTTAGTTTTGTGTACTTTTTTTTATTTTTATTATCTTCTGGTTATGGACTTGTCAGTGTTTAACCCATTATAGGGCACTCACTTGGAGAGAAATATCAGCTGTGCTGCTGCCATCAACACCCTTGTTTATAGATGCTGGAGATCGGCCTGTTTTCCAGTGTGGTCCTGTTTCTCTGACATGGGAGCTGGCTCGGAGCTAGTCTGCCTGGCTGTGTGTTTCCTGGACGGGGCCGCCTTTTACAGCTGCTTTTTGTATCTCTGCTTCTGTCTCCTTGAACCCTAGTCGGTCTCAGCAGATGGCCGCTCACACTGAGCCTGGTTCTGCTGGAGGTTTCTTCCTGTTAAAAGGGAGTTTTTCCTCTCCACTGTCGCTACAGGCATGCTTAGTGTGAGGGGTTGCATTTGAGTCAATGAGTCAACGCAATCAACTGGTGTTCTTTAGATAGAAAATTTTGAATCAATTTGACTGGATGATCTGGTTGAACTGTAAAGTGCCTTGCGATAATGTGTGTTGTGAATTGGCGCTACATAAATAAACTGAACTGAATTGAATTCAGTGAAGCCAATAGTGTTATTAGAATCCAGGACAGGACCTTATTACCTTTGTAACATTAAAAAATATGGATATTTTGATGGCAAAAATGAATGTCAATGTAATAACAAGAAACGCCAACTTGCCGGAATATATTAAGAATAAATAACAAAAGTTCTTCTATAAGTAATTCATGAAAAACTGTCATAGTGACAGAAACACATTATTTTTGGTACAACATAACCTTAGAGGCATTCATGCTGATACTGGCATTTACATTTTTTGGCTTATAAACCTTAATATAATTGTTAACCAGGCTTATTAACTTTTTAACTTTAATTTCCAGCTTTTCAATTAGCTTTTTACATTTTTTTTCCTTGTCTTGTTAATTTTATCTAATTGTCTAATTATCACATGCCAAAATAAGATGTAGAGCCATGTAGCAGTATCTTTGCTGAATGGCTGGATATAGATCTTGTGCTTCTAGACCTTACTGAGGAACAGGGGGACCTAGACATTTTCATCACCATGGGCTTAGCCCGCAAAAATGTCA